TGTGCTAAGTAAAATTCAAAGGGTGACTTCCGGCAGCTTATAATTAGCGAACTTAGCAAAGCCTGCTAAAACAAACATAGTAGTCAGTTAGACATATTCAACATGGTGGAGTTACACAACCTATCCCTACCCATCCGTGTTCTCTGAGTTACTTTGGACTTCACATTAGAATGTACCAACACGAGAACAGTGACGGAACGGCGACCGAAATCATTGGATACGAAGTTTCTAGAAAAACTCTTCAGTTCATGTTTCTCATTGCATGTTTTCTACATTTATTATGATTAAAGCAAACTACCAAACAAATTCATTATGATGAAAACCTAAGCCAAACATAAGGCAGGTTTAGTGGATAGTTGTCTGATAAACAACTACGAGTCTTTTTGTGCGATCGTTGTCCGTCACTTGTTCCTTCCAATGGGACTTTTGGTTAGCGAACCTCATGAGTGAATTGTTGCTTATAATACCAGGCTTTTGTTAGACATGAAGAGGAAGTATAACCGGCAGAGCGAAACTATTTTCTTACATTATTGACATCATTCTAAGGAAGACATACCGAAAATTCCCAGACAACCGATCTTTCGCACCTGCAAAATCTTTAAAAGTTAAAATATATTCTGTTTCTAACAGATAAAAGCAAAACTCTTTCATTTCGGAGCAATAACCAGTTGCAGAAGACCAGAATATTTTAGAAAAGAAAATGTGCGCCCGTTTGCAGTAGATGTGCTAACTCATGAAATGTTAGCCGAAATTTTGAAATGCGTTTTCGACTGGAAAAGATAACTCAAGTTGGGTTTCAATAGTATGAAATATATTTGAATTTGTAAGGGCATCGGAAATACATGAGACCAATACACACTGCATATATCGCTGTTTTTTACAGAGTATAGTTTTTTCAGGCGACCCGAAGGAAGGTCGTTCAAAAGCTGGCATCCAGAAGTAACTGTATTATCCTGGGAGTATGTTGCACGCTAATTACTATTACGAATCTACTTGAATTATCTTTTTCAGTCGAAAACGCATCTCAGAATTTCGGCTAACATTTTATAAGTTAACACATCTACTGTACCTTCTACCAGAGCAAGTGAGCTTAAACAACTGACCTTGTGGTTCTAGAAGGTAGAAAGCTCATGTTCGCATCCCTTTAGCATCAAAAATCCAGCCCGTGCAACCAGAAGTGAAACAAGAATGATGTTGTCCAAATCCTATTATTTTAGGAAAAGCTCTAATGTTTCTTTTTTTCTACTTAGAGTTGTAAATATATCGACATGCGCGAAGATTCGAGGTCCACATTTTGATACCGCGTTTCGTATTCCCGATAAAGATGAGGAAGAGAAGGATGTGGGTTCTTGGTCCGAACTGCGTGCATACTGACGCCTCAAAACTTCCTCCTTTTCTTTATCACATTGGTGAAGTAATTGTTTCTGCGCACCATCCATGAAGGCGAGGGCACTTATCAAGGTAGGAAGTCGATTCTCCAGTGGCACAACCCAACCGAAGCATGGACCTGCATCTTGTTTAACAAGCGCTAAGAAGTGGGCTCGAATCAGGTGCATTTAACGACAAAATTCCGAAAAGAAGCGGAAAGCAGTCAATATGGGACATCTCACGACGCAGCAAAGGGTGTAAGACCCACAACTAATTAAAGCCAGCCTGTGAAGCGTGTCATACGCTGTGGGGTGGTAGAGGGGGTTGTGTGGGTGGAGCAACACACAGGACGGGGAGCAAGAAGACACAGAAAATAGATAAATTTCTTCAAAAAGTCTTATCTTACGCTGTCATTTGGCGAAGAAAGTGAGCGCGGTAACTAAAAAGTAGACAAAAAGTAATTTTCAAAAAATGATGGACTTTGAATAAATTGCCGCTGGTAAGTTAACATTTAGTCAGGAAGGGAAGGAAATTTCCAACAGTGGGAACGGTGAATAAAATGTGACGTTTACAGTCACACTGAAATTTAGGGTATATTTTTGGAGTTGCCATCTACTTAAGGGTCCTACACCCTATCGTAACCGTTTGATTGTTAGCTGGTTCAAGTGTATACAGTTGGAGGTAGATTTACCGGTTTGGCCCCAGTAGGCCACGTTAAAATAGATAAGCAATCTTTTCCAACCTTTTCCATCAAGATAAGCAACCCCGTACTTAGGATGGGCATTATAGAAACGTGAAGTGATTGTAGGCTTGTGCACTTCTTGTGACGAATGTTTTTTTCCCTAGCTTTCAGCAAGCCGTGACACATTTTTTATACAAGGGAAGGCTGCTCAGGTGGTCAAGTTAGGCGTCTAAATCAAAGTAGCTTTGGAATCCCTATAGTTATGGACTTCTGTTGCTTCTCACATAAAGAAACATTCAATGCTATATCAGGGATGGGGTTGTCTCCCAACCTCCTTTTATTTTAGAAAGTTTTTGGTCAACTCTTCATGGTGATTACAAATGTATAATTTCTACAATGCGACTAAAATGTCAGGTTAACTGGGGGAGAGCTGTAACTTCGGATTTCTGCTCTGTGACTTATGCCAAGTGAAGCTGAGCTCATATAACAGCCTTTAATTTGCTATTCATTGCTGCTATTCTTTGGTGAAGGAAAAGTTTACTTTTAGATGATGAGATGAGACAACTGCAGACGTAGAGCGCAAGCTCAAAGAAATTTATCGATGTGCCAATTTGCTAAACAGAATGGAATTCGAACTGCCAGGGAGACTAGTCATATGCTGCCTTTACCATTCTTTGTTTTCTCCGGGCTTTTTTTTCAGTCTTCAAGAGATGTTTCTGCGGTATTGAGCGGATGGAGTTGATGAACTGGTCACTTGGAAATTTCGTAATTTCGTTTATCAGCTCAAAAGATCATCTGTTACTTTCGGACGCACGTTGTGTCAGCATCTAGAGAACAATTTATTTTAGAGTTGTTTATTCATTGCACTTTGAGAATATAAAACGAATTCTTAAGATTTACTCGATGAATCCTATGTGGGCGAACATACTTTCAACGCCGATAGAAGCGAATACAACGAGGCAGTTTAGAAGACGAAGATGAGATCGCAAGTACAAAAAGTTTTCTCGGCTGACGTTTCGGATTCCAACTCACACCCATCACCAAAGACAGCCGCAGGTAAGAGCAAAAAAGAGAGAGGTATTTGTAGGACGTGCTTGCCATGCCAACACATGCCTACTATAATTTATAGCTCCGGCATTCATCACAGGGGTCGTATTTAATACGACGAGACGGCAGTTGTCGTAATTTCATCATTGTGTTTTACTCTTAGCAGGATAATTATACGGAAATTTGACTCCCTACCACTGGAACTGTGAATCGCCCAACTGCTCTCCGCGTGGCTAATTAATTTGCACATGCAAAGTCTCAGCAAAGAATATCCAGTCGGGAGGTCGGTGGGCTTGTTAACTAACCATGGCCCGCAGAGCCATGACTCGCGCAGCTCACTGCTTTCGCGGTTGTCACCTCTTGCGAGAATCTCGACGTCGTCAAACTTGAAAGTGTTACTGCATCCCGTCGAATGAGTCCGGACAATAGAGTTAACGTCACTCCTCCTTACGCCTGCTGCAAATTCGATCAGTCGCGTAAGGAGCAATCTTCCAACTTATCCAACCTATTTTATTCACAACCATGCCAAATGTTCCATCAGAGATGCAGGTGAAGGATTATGAGACGGCCGTTGTCTGCGGCAGAGAGAGAAGCCATTTCACAATGTCGTATATGATGGAAAGGCGACTCCAGCGTTTTGTCGCTCCCCATTTGGCGTTCGTCCCAGAAAAAGAAGAAACCGCCCTCACATCCTTCAGTTGTCCCTGTTTCAGGAATCGCGTTGTCCACTTTTTAACGCGTTATTTCGCAAGTGACCAGGGCTATATTTTCCCTTCTAACAGGTTGTTCAACTAGTTGTCCAAAAGGAGCGGACTTCCCGGTTCACCAGATTGAGCACTTTCACCCTAGTGGTCTGTGAGCGTGGACGGGGATTTGTAGATGAGGACTACATATCACTTATGGACTGTGTGAAACAAGCATCCCCTGAACTGCCACCCAACTGTCACACGTGGCTCCTCGAAGCCGGACAGAGCCTGACGGCCACATCCCAGTAACTGCCTCGCGGGCTAAACCAAATGAGGGTGTCTGATGCTGTGTCCTCCCAAACGGTAACTCTGATCTGCCTCCTTCACACACTTCTTCTCCCCATCTCCATTCAACTCCCCACATTCCGCCTCCCTTCCTCTCCCTTCCCTCCTACTCTACTTTTCCCACTATCTTCTCTATTCTCTTCCCCCACGGCCGAAACGTCCTCAGGAAAGGGTGGCATGCATTTACGTAGGCGGCAGGGGTCAATCTAGTCGTTCTCTCTCTCTCTCCCTCTCTCTCTCTAAACCAAAATATGGCCCATATTAGAGAGCGTCAGCCGTCCGGGACGACTTAGCAGCCCTATTCACGTGTTGCTTCGCGTGTCGCTCTCTGTTCGCGGTTTCGTTTGGCCACCCTCTGCCGAAGCAGTTTTGTAACGTTTTCACCCATGAACTCTCCGTACTCCCACTTCTCTTGGTGAATCCTTGGCGGTATTTGCTAAGCTTAAATTGACAGTCTTGAAGGAGCACTAAGATAATTCGTCTGCCGTGCTGAAGTACTGTGCGTCTCGCCAGCTCTGTTTTGACCGGGGGTTTGCATGAAACACACTTCGTCAATACTTTATTGTCAAGAACGCTACAAAACTGCTTCAGCAGAGGGTGACCGAACGAACCCGCGAACAGAGAGCGACAAGCGAAGCAGCACCAGAGGACAACGTTCGTAAGCTGCCTGTTCCAACGTCATCCAAGAACGACAAACTGGTGAACAACCTGTCGTTGAAGGAGCTGACGGAGGAACAGATGCAGGTGTTAAGGCATGAGGCCTCATTTAACACAGCCGATGCCAAACCTGCCAACATGGTTGCAGTAGTGGAGTCGATCCTAAACCAGACGAAACGAAGAACCTTGTTCGACACCAAGTGTCATCCCTCCTCATGGCTCATAGGCCGCGCAACGTGGTTTCCAAGGTCGAAGGTGACGCACTAAAGGAACTCAAGGTCGACAACGATCTCGTTATCGTGCCTGCGGATAAGGCGCGTTCCACGGTCGTAATGGACAGGACAGACTACATTCAGAAGGCCAAAAGTTTGTTGGAGGATCGTCAGTCCTATATCCCATGCGAATCCATCCTCATAAAGACGCTGACACGCGGGATCAACGCGACGCTGTTGACAACGGAGAACTCGGGTCTAATATCACCGATCGACCGACGTGTGGCGAGAGCGCAAGAAACGGCCCTGGCCCGGTTGTACGGCCTCCCAAAAGTGCACAAAGAGGGCGCTCCTCTCCGGCCAATCTTATCATTAAAAGGTACTTCAACCTACGGACTGGCAAAGTGTTTTTTGACTTCTTAAGTTTCCGACCTCCGATTTAAACACCACAGTCAGCTCGTCAAGACAATTCTTGAAGAAACTTGCAGGGGTAGGTCTCCTGCCAAGCGAAAGCATGGTATCTTTCGATGCCACATCCTTTTTTACTTCCATCTCAAAGGACCAGGCAGTCGAGACCATTGAACTGCTTCTACGAGACAAGTAAAATGAAACGGAGAACCGCCTCCGACACGCCCATTTCCTTCAACTCTCGAAGTTCTGTCTCAAGACGTACTTTACGTTTGATTGAATAATCTGCGAACAGGTTCGCCGATTTCAGGAATCAAAGCCGAGGCGGTCCTACAATGGTTGGAGTCGTTGGTTTTTCGACACCACAGAGCGAAATTTTGGGCTCGGCATGTGGATGATACCTTCGTCGTCATCGAACAGAATTAGATGCTGAGATTCAAAGAGCGTTCCAACGCCATCTTACCGGACATTTACTTTACAATGCAGGGAAAAGAAAACAATCAGCTGGCCTTTCTGGATGTCCCCCTTTGCCGCAAAGATTATGTTGACCTAAAAACCAAAGTATTCAGGAAAGCGATAAACACGATGAAAGTACTGAATTTCAGCAGTTATCACTCGATTTGTCACAGAAGTAGTTACGTAAGGGCACTATGCCGGCTCGTTAGGACGCATTGCAGTGAAACGGAGGACAAGGTTGTTAAATTATTATATCTTCGATGATTACTGAGAGCCAATGACTACCCGTTGGACTTTGTCAACCGGTGCGTACGTAAGCGAAACCAGAAACCAAATCCAACCGGCCCAAAATTCTGGCTGGCTCTCTCATAGGTGGAGAACGTCTCGGAAGCCGTCAGCCGCCTCCTCACACCACTTGGATTTGGACTTGCACACAGGCCGGAAGCAACCGCCAGGCGACAAGTCATGAGACCAAAAGACCCGTTGTCACAGCGAGAAACGTCTGGAGTCGTTTACCGGATCTGTCGCAGTTGGGTACAGAGCAGCTACGTCGGAGAAACTTGGAAATTACTCCTGACGCGGATGATCGAGCTCGCACTAACGACGAGGAGGAAAGACGCCAGCTCTCAGGTGGCGACTCATTTCACGGAACATGGTTCTCAAGCCCGCAATCCATCAACAAACGCAATGACCTTCCGGTATCATACTCAGTATTGACAACTCCCTGAGCAGGGGAATCAGTCGCGTAAGGAAGGGGCGAGCGAGCAACAATACAGGTGACAGTGGACCAAATTGCCGAGTTATCATCACGCCAACATCCAGCACTGATGATGAAATTCCGGTAATTATCGACTCGGACGCGGACTGACAAGCCTTCATCGCCTCAATTACGGCCCCTGGCGGTGATCGCGAGAGCTGTTGAGTATATTACGCATGTGGCCCCACGGCAGCTACGGACTATAAATATTGCAGTTCTTGTGCTTCCACTATCCTTATCTACAGCCCTCTCTGATGACGGGTCCGAGTGAAAATCCAAAACGTCAGGCCAACAAACTTCTTGCTCCAGTGATCGTATCTTCTCCTTCTCCTTCTCCTTCTTCTTCTTCTTCTTCTTCTTCTTCTTCTTCTTCTTCTTCTTCTTCTTAGATGCTTGGTTCGTGACATCTGCATGAAGATCGTGGCCCGCAGGCTGCAATACATGCGGTCGAAGCAGCCGCGCAAGAAACCTCAGTGATTCCTTTTGCTTTCCTTCTCCTCTTTGCTCTACCCCTCAGGCTGCTAGGGTGAGTCCGCTCGTTCTGGCAGCCTGATGATCATTTCTTTTAGACAGTCTGAGAAGCAACCGACCGGGACAGAGGATGTCGATAGTCGCTCATGAACTGGCCCGATTCCAGTTAGACATTGCTGCTTTCAGTGATACCCGTTTCTCAAAGCAAGGACGACTGAAGAAGGTGGGTACAGGTTATACTTTGACAGAATGACATTTCCGACAAAGACAAGGGAGACTGGAATGGCCATTTCTGGCTTATTAGCCGTCGTCAGCCAGTCATACCCAACGCCGAAGTGTGGCACACCCGAGGCTCGAACTCGCGACCTGTCTGTTAGAGGTCCACGCCTCTGACCACTGCGCCACGAGCCCGTTGCCCTGTCGGTTTTCGATTGCTATACTTTCTTCTGGAGTGGCCGCCCAAGCGCAGAGGGACGAGACGCAGTCGTCGCCTTTGCCATCCGAAACGACATCGAGGGACTACTGCCCTGTCTGCTGCAGAACATCGAAGATCGCCTGATGAGCCTCCAACTGTCCCTCTGATGAGACAAATTCGCCCCTATGACCAGCGTCTACGCCCAAACAATGACCGGCTCAGAGGAGGACGTTCGTCGTCGTCGAACGGGACCAGGTGCTAACGTTCAAAGAACGTCTCAACAGCGTTTTCCCGGGCATACAATTTACGATGGAGGAGGAATAAAATAACCAGCTGGTATTCCTTGACATCCTCGTCTGTCGCAAATATTGTGGTGGTCTAACGACCAAAGTGTTCAGAAAACCGACGAACACGACGTAAACACTGAACTTCAACAGTAACCAGACAGTCAGCCACAAACGCAGTTGCGTAAGAACGCTATATCGGCGTGTTGAGACGCACTGCAGTGAATCGGAAGACAAGGTTGCCGAATCCCAATATCTTCGACGGGTTTTCAGAGAAAATGGTTACTCGCGCAACTTCGTCAACCGGTGTATGCGCAAACTAGACGAGCGACAAAATCGTGCCGATCTCAAATTCTGACGAGCGATCCCGTACATCAAGAACGTCTCTGAGGCCGTTAGCCGCCTTCTTGCACCACTTGGGGTTGGAGTTGCAGACAGACCGGAGGCCACCATGAGCTGTCAGGTGACGAGATCAAAAGACCCACTGCCACGGCAATAAACATCTGGAGTCGTTTACCGGATCTGGTGCAGTTGCGGACAAAGCAACTACGTCGGAGAAACTGGAAAACTGCTGCGAACGCGAATTTCCGGACACGCGGCAGCGGTACGGTGAAATGACGCCAACTCTCAGGTTGCGGCCCATTCGATGAGATCCGGTCACACATTCAAGTTCGATGAGGCCGAAATTCTCGCGAGAGGGGATAATCGCGTGAGCCGCGAGTTGCTTGAGTCATGGTTCACGGGACCTCAGTTTATCAACAAGTGCAACGACATCCCCTCTCCATATTCCGTGTTGAGGCATACGCTAGCCGAAGTAATTGACCACTAGGGGAGCGCGGAAGCCGGTGAGCCAGATGGCCGAGCAATCACCACGCCAGCATCCGATGCGGGTGATGACATTTCGGCAATTAAAAACTTGCAGGCCGGCTATCAAGCAATTAGCGCACAAGCGGGCAACGATCCATCATGAAGGGGAGCGCGGTTAATAGCTAAAGGTATGTGGTAGCATAGCCACTGCATCCTGTAAATACTGCAACTTCCTGTGCACGAGTCACCCTTTTCTGTCACTGTCTCTGATGATGGATTCAAGTGAGAATCCGAGACGTCAGGCGAATAAAGCCCTTGTTCCAGCGATCGCTTCTTCTTCTGATCAACTAGTTCCTGGAACTCGCACTATCGCCTGATAAATTGATTGTTCTTGGCGACTCCAATGCCAGCATCGGGACAGCCTGTGCCGCCTGGAGGGGAGTGCTTGGTCCTCACGGAATCGCCGGTTGCAACGACGATGGCCACCTTCTCCTGCTAACCTGCACAGAACACGGCCTCCTGCTGACCAGCTTCTTCTTCCGCCTGCCGACGCGGAATCGACACGGGCTCCACCTCAACACCAGACTGAATATGTACAAGGCGGTCATACCGCCAGCGATGTATGAAGCGCAGACCTGGATGGCATATAAGGAGCAGGCGCGAATACTCATTCATCTCCACCTCAGCTGTCTTCGACGGATACTGAAACTCAGATGGCAGGACCGAATCCCGGACATGGACGCACTGGAGCGAACGGGAATCCTCAACATTTACGCAACGCTAAGACAGCTGAAACTGCGTTGGAGTGGCCACATCGTGCGGATGGACAACGAGCGGTGCCAAAACAACTCTTTTACGGAGATGTCGTCAAGGGTTCCCGCCGGCAGGCATCTCCTGCACATCCATCATGCCTGGCTCAATCCATACCCCGCCGCCTAACATACCCAACACCATTAGCTCCACCACGCTCAGCACATCTTGTACATCCACTCTTCCTAATTCAACGTACACACCATCGCCCAGCGCGTCCACCATCAGCAACTCCACCACTGCCACCATCACCGAAACCGACACGGACACAGTCGACTTTTCCTGACCGCACTGTCCTCGTACATCCACTTCACGCATAGGCCTGGTCGGCCACTTATGAATCCATCGCACAAAGACTGGCGAACAAGTGCCTGAAGCACCAACACACATTTGACGCATCCGCCTCAACTGCTCTCACTGCGCCCTGCACATTTAACGACCGCGTGGGCCTATTAGGCCACATGCGCATTCATAAAAACCCATGGTGGACAAACTTCAGCTAAATCACACCACCACATCGTCCTCCACCTACAGCACTCAACATCATCATCCACCCAAGCATCCAAGTGCCACCTCCCGCACAAGTGAGAAGTGTGGGTCTTGACTCCGTCTCCATTCTGCTTCTTTGCTGTATGTGTGATTCGAATCTGAAGCTACCACCGCGCGTCAAGCGCTGTGATTGGAAGGCTGCTGACTGACGCCCTAACTCAGTCCACACAATCTTTCCTGTTGCGTGTGCGTGTGTGTGTGTGTGTGTTTCTGTGGAGTGGCGGATTGATAGGCTGAGAGCCAGGGTGAAGCGGCTCCTTCTAAACGTGATCTACGGTACTCTCACGCATGTGGGATGCACGCCGTTCAATCTCCGTTGCGTGAACTCCTGGTGCTTGTGATTGGGCCGCCAGATCGTCCATGTGGCGAGCGCAGACAAGGTCACTAGATATGTCAGCCACCGCGCCACCCTGCGCCGGTCAACTGACCAGCTCGGACAGTGACTGGGGTCTGGCAATGGGAAGGGGAGTGAGGTCGAAGACACCGCATTTTCCTCACTATACACAATCTGACGTGCTTGAAGTTATCATGGTGCGCTAAGAGCCGTGGCTTGGAAGGCTGCCAACTGATGACGTGATAACTTGGACCTCGCAGTCGACCTAGTGTTGTGTGTTTGTGTAGAGTGGCTGACTGGCGGTCTGAGAGACAGGCTGCAATGGCTCCTTCCTAATGTGACCTTTATGGCGGTCCTACTCCGTGGGATCCGAGCCAGGTGTGACGGCACGCCTAGATGTAGTATCGGCCGTGCCAGTCACCCTTTCGTTGTTGATTAAAATCCTGGTCATTTGCTGTGTGGACCAGGGGGTGTGGAATGAGACGCCAAAGTGCGGGCTCGACCGTGCCATCCATCTGCGCCCTCCCGCACTCCAGATCTTCTTGACTACGTCTTGACAGGGGTCCAAGTGGGGAGGATAGGGATATACTGCGGCAGTTGTTGCGCAAGTCTGCATTCACTATAAACTAATTGACGCGTAAGTCTCCGTGTCTGCTTCACCTTTCAGTGGAGCAAACGGTGGTCATATTCGGTAACGACGGTCGAACTGTCATCCCCTCATTCGACACACCCTACAACCCAGCGGACATGACATACCGTAACCCTCTCACTCCTGCCGCAACAAAGCCGTGTCGTCCATTGTAGAAGTCCAACAAGAGTGGCCCTCAGTTGGCACCCAAGCGAGTCCGGCGAGGTTTGGTTCTGCAGCCCCACTTCATTGATACCATATGGTTAGATTCCTAAAGCAATTCTAGTTTATCCACTTACTGGATTAGGAAGGGAAAGGCAGCGCAAGTGAGCTGGAAGCACGCGAAGGTGGCGTGTTCACACTCTCTTCGCGACACAGCCACTCTCTGGATTGGTAGGTTAAAGAGGGTACAATCACAACTGAAAGACCACGGAGCGAACCCCATGGTATTTTGCAGTGGTGGAACCGACGGAGTTCCAATCCATCCGAACATTTCCATTAGCAAGCCCACTTAGCTACGCGCTGTATTAGTATAATAAAGAGGGTGCAAGCGGGGCTTGAAGCACGCGCAGAGGAGAGCGTGTGAACTGATATCTGATGAAAACAAGGATGGCGTATAACCACCCTCCCCCGTGACAGTCACCCGCTGGGTTAAAGTGGTAAGGAGGGCACAAACACGCGATTATTTTAAAGTTAGCTTACCTGCATCTACTGAAATTATTTTATGAAACTGAGCATATGGTATCAATGAAGTGGGGCTGCAGAACCAAACCTCGCCGCGAAAATCCTTCTGCAGAATCGGTGCATGAGCAGACAAAAGGTAAGCAGTCCGACAATCCCGTAACGGCTTTCACCGCACGCAAATACATAAACGCAAAATTGGAGGCCCAAACAATGAAATTCCCTTCCTTTTATGTAAACTGCCCCTACAGTACTAAATTAGGGTGCTGCTGGATTCAATGTCGTGCGCGTGAGAGTCACGTAAAAGCAACCTTATTTGAAAACGCGGGGACTTCTAGATGTTTGCCCAAACTTCCTGTCGCAATTGTCTCTTTCTCAACACGGGTCACAGGATACGATTACTTGACTAGTGAACGCTTAATCTCAACCTGGCGACGAAAGGGGGGACCCATTATACGAATGCTGCTACTTCGAGGTAAGATCTGCAGCTACTTCAGAGCCGAACCTCCCACTGCGGTTTCATAAACACGCATATAGATTTTCTGTCTGCAAATCGTGTTACGTAGTCTCGCTGACAGCTGACGCGACCGCTTTTCCGGAAAGGAAACGCACCACCGGCTGTTAGAAAGTCTGCAAAACGCCGCTCTTCTTGACAAGTAAAAAAGCGGACCGAACTGTCGATTCACATCCATCCTTTTCTTTTAAACCAAAATATATGTTGTTTCAGATTGCCGACGTTACCATTTGAAATCAGGACAAAGAAGTGTTAACAGAAAGCCGAATGCATCGCAAACCCTGTGAACGATAGTGGGCATTAATTGTTTGTTGGGACTTAGTCGACCATTTTAAGCGAAAACAAGCCTGTTTAAAAATCCGTATTTCCCCCCCCCCTTCACAGCATATATTTCAGGCGTCGGCATTTACTTTGGATACTGGCCAGCTAAAAAAAATCCCCCGCTTATAAATGCGTGGATGACAAATTTTCATAAACGGTATTAAGGCAGTTAAAACGTTGTCCCACCCAGACGAAGTGCTCGGGGTTTCCAGAAGAAGGACTCTCAAAACAGTTGCCCACACCAACAAGCAACTGCTTAATATGTCTGTTTAAACATTTTCAACCCTTGTTGGCACTTTCAATATGTCACTTCTCTCCTCACCGACTTTTTCAGCCTGTTTTTAAACCATTTTCAGTCTCTGCTGCATGTTATGGTTCGCTTCGAGAGTTGATAACTAGGAAAACGGCATTTAAAATCAGGTTTGTCCTTTCCATCTATGAGGCGTTCTAAATAAAACCAACAACTGAAGACAGGAGTCATGAACAATGATAATCTGCACCAGTTTCAACAACCTATGTCGGCATAAATGTGAGGCATAATCTCCCAACTCTGATAGAAGCCGCTAGTGGCTAGTGGTTTTCAGCACAATTGCTTAGGTAACTCACAAGTTTGTCTGCATACATAAATAAGAATTAATGACGTTGTTAAAACTCTTATTTGGAATACCACTTTAGGCGCAGTAGGTCTGAGAAGGAACAAACCCAATGCGACTCTCCCCATCCAATCCCCGGTACATCATCTGACAACACTTACAATTTAAAGAATATTCGGCTACGCTAGTACGTGTCTTAGGTTCATACCACTGTTGTGTTCCGCACAGATTTGTGTACTTGGTCTGATGCAGTTGCAGAGAGAGAGCATCTACATCTGCACAACTGGGCAATTATTTCGGATGTGGGCGACCGGACAGCCAGTAGCAGTGAGGAGTAGGACTGACGCCACCTCCCAAGCCAGGGCCCATTGGACGAGAACCGGCCGCGCCTTTAAGTTCTAGGCAATCGAAATTCCCGCGAGAGGCAACATCAGTGTGAGCCACAAGTCGTTTGAGTCATGGTTTTCCGGCCAGTAGTCCATGTACAAGCGCAACGACTCCTGCACCCCCCGCTTATATTCAGTGTCTGTACAGAGTACCTCGTCGTGCGGGAGTCGCTAAACGATCACTGCTTTCTGTGAAAATGCTGGTAAACCAAGTCAGAGAGTCAGTATCACATCAATAAGCAACACCGATTCTGACCCGAATGCGAGCGATCAAGACACTATCACACCAAATACGGAATCTGGGATGTAAGTATGAACTGTGCAAAGACTGAGCAAACTAACTGCGCTCAGTGATGGAGTCTTCCAACGTCGGTAGTGACGGACGGCGAATCATGTGTGATGAAAGCATGAACCGCTAATTTTGATAGGATTGTGGAAACTTTTGAGTGTTCACTGCTCTTATCTATTATTATATCTGGCGATGGGCCCGAGTGTGAAAGCGAAACGATAGGCAAATGAAATCATTTGGATGGACCAGCTTATAGTTGCACCACTCCTTGAAATAACCCTCCAGCTCACTCACAGTAGTGGTGGTTTTGGGCCGCGCCATTTCCCCGCTAGTCTATTGCTTGAAATTCTTACACATTAAATATCCTTTTTAGTATGTTGGTGAAACCTACCGCCTAATCTTTCCTGGTCCCATCACAGCGAATCATTTTTCAGTAGGGATATGAAATATTAGATTCAGCGTTCATTCCAACTTTCTGTAACTCAACCGTTGATATGATGTTATTTTGAATCATGAGTTCTTCTTCCAACTGCTGGCTTTCCTATCATGCACCTGAGCACACGAAATGACCAGCATCGCTTTCTCTTTCCTACCCACGCACCAGCGACGAAGTAATGAAATTGGGCGCATTGACTGGTCTTGCGTAAAAGGCTTCTTATAGATGTGCAATAGTTTAGGACACATAGAGGCTTGCTACAGCTCGACCACCGTTCCTCATGAGCAGTGAGGAGAATACTATTCTGGGGGTTTAGGCGGCTACGAACCAGTCCAAACGATCCTTGTTCCAGAAATATAGTTACCTTCTTCTCCGAGTTAACACCTACTGTATCGTTT